GCCCAAGAAGAGGTTGGGCGCACTTTCTTTTTGGTCCGCTAGAGACCCTAACAATGTTTTTGGGTTAGGCTGAATATCCGGTGTTCTTGGCAGGTGCCCAGAATTGGCTGGGTAGTAGCTGGCAAGGTTTATGTTCCCGTTAGTGATCATTCAGGGTGGGGAGGGCACCTGCAGAAATGAATAGCTGTTCCTGGCTTTCAGGAACTGAAACGTGGCACTCCTGGTGTGAGGACAGCTTGGGTGGGGTGCACAGATCTGCTACTGTTGGTCAAGATTTAAGCACCTTTCTTGTCAAAACGTCTCCCATTTGACAGTTACGGTAGTTTTTAAGGTTTTTTTTTTAATACTCTTGAGGCACAGCACAGGCCAGAACACAACAGCTGTGTTACGACACAGAGACTGTAACAGGAAATTGGATAAGTATCTAAACTGTCATATAAAAGGCAACAAAATTAACATGAAGCTGCAGTAAAGCCTCCTTCTTACTTGAGGTAGTATCTCTGTGTCTGGCACATCCCACTTGATGAAGGAGGAGGGGGTCCTCAAAGGAGCGCCTATCTGTGTACGTACAGTACGGAAAAACTGTATAGACAGTGAGAGTTCTAACCTGGCCTAATCATGTCCCTCTTTTTTGTGGGGGAGAAGCATGCTGTCAGGGAACTGCCCCTGTGTGGGCTTGGATGGTACAGCCCAGATGCTAATGCACCACCCCAGTAAGAGCTGCTTCAGAATGCTCAAGCAGTGCATTCCGTCAGCTTGTTTTCCACCATGTCAGAGAAGTTGAGGTTCAGGTGTGCCTGGAAGTTGCATGGTCCCTTGTAAGGCCCCTTTCTCTAATCGAAGGATGTACAATTTGTAAGCCTCCAGGTGGTGGACTGCATCTTGCATCAGCCCTAGCCAGCATAGCCGTTGGTGAGGACTGATGGGAGTTGCAGTCCAATAGGATCTGGAAGGCCACAAGCTGCCTAGGATGGTGGCTAAAATTCAGGAGCAGTGAGGCCCTCTTTTATTTGTTATATTTATATCCTGATTTTTTCCAGTACGACAAAGGAGGCATAGGTGGCTCTTCTCCCACATTATCCTCACAGATAACTTGCTGAGTTAGTGAAGACTAGGGGGAGTGTGTGGGCTTCTGCTTGTAGGAAAAGTTGCATTAAGTAATGTTTTACCACTGGTGGTTGGTTCTTTGGAGAACTGAGCAGGGCCTTAGGAGATTCAGCCTTGAATGATCGGGCTGAATCTCCTTGTGGCAATGAGCAGGGAGAGGACCATAGTTCTATTTACTACCTGTCTTGCACTGTATTACTGGGGAACCATATAAACCGCAGACATCTTCCAGTCCGAGGAGCAGGAGGGAAGATCAGGAGATTTCCCCTGCAGCAATGATCTCAGCACCTTCTGTGATTCCACTGGTCTTGTTTTGCTGCTGCATTTCTGTGACACTCCAGGTGTCTTGAAGATGCAGTAAGTTTCAAGCACTTACCATCATATCCAGCTCCAGAAAAGAATTTCTGTTCATGTAGCTTTGGCATTGGTTTTTCCACCTTTCTGTCAAGCTGGACAGGGATGCTGGAGCTTCTGTATATATTGCGATGCTCAGCATTATTCCATGTCTGATCACCACCATTTCCCAACTTTAAGTTTAAAGGTTAGACTGGGAGATGGTTCATGATTTCAAACCATCTCTAAATGCAGCACAAGGATAAGGACCGTAAAATAATGAGCACAGTGACTACAGATGTGGTTAGTCACAGAGGATTATTGACTTGTAGCTGTGGGATCGGAGACAAGGATAAGGACCGTAAAATAATGAGCACGGTGACTACAGATGTGGTTAGTCACAGAAGATTATTGACTTGTAGCTGTGGGATCTGAGATACCGGTAATTCATTGGTTAATCTGGGATAATGAATTGGTTAACTAATCAATTAACAGAACTATCTATACAGACTGAGATATGATGAAGTTGTGTGTGAGGTTCATTGTAAAGTGGCAGATTTATGAAGATTCAGAACAAAGCTTTCTCAGTGAATCATTTGAATCCTCTCTGACTCAGATGCTGCAGTTGAGAGATATCGTGTTAATGTAAATTTGGCCCTTGCTTGTCTAGTGATAATGGATAAATTTCAAACTATGGTGCCTGAGGGTGTGGGCAAGATCCTTAGATAGCTGACAGCCATCGCACGCATGCAAGATCCTTGCTTTTCCTGGCTTATAAAGGAAGACAGAAAAGGACTGGCCAACCTGCCTAAAAGAGATAATGGATTTCAGCCTGCCTAAAAGGCTTTTCTCAAAAAAGCCTTCCCTGAACCCCACTGTACTGGGTAACTTCCACCCAGTCTTTCCTGTTCTATTCTTGGGCAAGACAGTGGAATGTGTGGTGGTGGCTTCATAGCTCCAAAATTTTCTGCATGAGATAGATTATATATTTCAGTCTGGTTTCAGGCCTGGGACAGAGATGGTTTTGGTGGCTTTGGTGGATCATAAGAAAGATGTCCCTGTTGTTTCTGCTGCTTTTGATACCATCAGCCACGATATTCTTCTGGATTTTGACTTAGTCTTGAAATGATTCTGGTCCTCCTCGGGCAGGTGATCTCAGAAGGTGCTTCTTCCTGGGATACTTCCTGATCTGATCATTGTGAGTTCAAAATGCAAAGGGCACTGACCACTCATTCTGGGATTCTGTTCCTTGAGGAAGTTGACCTTTCCCCATGCTTTCTTCCTTTTCTCCCTCTCTATTTCTCTCTCTTCTCTCCTCTCATTGTTGTTCTTTGCCAGTGAAAGCGCATGGTGTCTTGAGGAATTTGGATGAATTCAGTGACTGTTTCCCCCCCTTATATTCTCATAACAGGGCACTTTACACATGAATATGTTGAGGAGCAGCCACTGGTTACCAGTAGCAGCCATACTTTGTGTCACATTGGAAAGTATATGGTTCTCCAGATGTTGTTGGTCTATCACCCATCCACTCCATACCTAGCCAGTTTGGCCAGTGGTTGAGGGGGTGATGAGAGATTTCATCCAGCAATATCTGCAGAACCACATCGTTTTAGAGATCAGAGCTAAGACAGCTCTGCCTAAAGTCTCAGACAGCCATGGCTTATACTGGGCAAGGTGAGTCAAGAATCTGCAGGATTGATTGATTGATTGATTGATTGATTGATTGATTCATTGATTTGTACTCCACCCATCTGATCTATAAGACCACTCTAGGTGGCTTCCAATATAACATAAAACAATAAAATAACACAAAATATTACATAAATCATATAATAAATACAATACAAAGACAGAATAAGAAATAAATGAAGGAAAAATTAAAAGAAAAATCTTTTTTCATCTCGATTTTGCATGACCATGTAGAGCTTCACATACGGTAGTTGCCCATGTTGCATAATGTAGTCTGAAGTCTGCAGGGTTTCCACCAATCAGAGGATAATCTGTGAGCTCCCAATAGATCTTGTTCTCATAGTCAGCTGTGAGCTGGAAACTTGCTTTTCTTGCTTAAATAATTGAGGTTGAGAGATGAATAAGTGAAATCCAGTGCCAAATTCTGCTTTTTTAAAATTCCAGATGGTATGGGAGCCTTGGTGAAATATTTGTCTTTTCTAGGTTAAGCTGGGAAAACACTTTAGGTATGCTATGTGTTCACCATTTTTGACCATAAAAGCACTTGAAAGAGATTTTGCAGCTTTAGAGCTGGAAATTCTTTGTCCTGAAATTAGTCTTCTTTGTTACTTTTCTCATGTGCTTTATTGTTTTTCAGTCTTATTATTATATTGCATTGTGATTTTGTAAATGTTTGCTGCTTGCTACATATTCATAATTTGTTCATAAGCATTTTGAACAGCAAGCTTCTGGATTTTTAAAGGGGATGATGAGTATCTCTGTCACAGCAAAGCTGTCAGATAGTGCTGGAGTAATCACATAGTGTTCATGCAACAACATTCCATATTTTTTGCTTAAATACACCAGCTCCTAACGTTGTATCCTTTGCATTCCTCTCACTCTCCTTATTAGTTTCATTGATCATCTAGTTTATTTTAACTTATGCATCTATAGGAATCTATATGTCTGTGTGGTGCTTGCACTGCAGCCCACCTCAAAATCTGTTTATGGCTAAAACAATTGAAGCTCTTTGGAAACCTAATTGTTCCTCCCCCCTCCCTCCTTTCAGGCACTGTTCGAGAACTATTGATAAAAATGCTGAATATGGAGAAAGAATTAGTATATGTCCTCACCTGTGCATCTCCCATTGATAAAAATGTTGAATATGGAGAAAGAATTAGTATATATCCTCACCTGTGCATCTCCCAATTAAAATAAAAGGCTGATTTAACAACAGATTACACAGTTTAAGGATCACTAACCCCTCTGGCTCTCAGTGCCCCTCCCTTTGATGTGA